AAATTTGTTCTAGGAAGTGTCTGGGTCTTCACAGCTAGTCAGGGGAGAGACAGAGGGGTAGCTTGAGAGCTTGAGTTCTATGGTCAGATGGACCTGGATTTCAATTCTCAATCTGTCTCCATGGCTTGTGTGAACTCTGGCAACTGATGACTTGATTTCCCCATCTATAAAGTGGCTACAATAATGAACTTCCCTCATGAGCATGGAAAGACTGAATGTGATGCTGTGGGTTAAGTGTTTAGCCTGGTACCTGGTACCCGGCCCATAAAGAAAGCTTAATAGCAATACCACGATTATTACTTCTTTTTCTTTTATCTTTTTTTTTCTTTTTTTTGAGACAGGATCTCACTCTGTTTCCCAGGCTGGAGTGCAGTGGCGTAATCACAGCTCACTGCAGCCTTGACCTCCCAGGCTCAAGAGATTCTCCTACTTCAGTGTCCTGAGTAGCTGGGACGATAGGCACATGCCACCACACTCGACTAATTTTTGTATTTCTTTGTAGAAACAGGGTTTCTCCACGTTGCCCAGGCTGGTCTCAAATTCCTGGGCTCAAGCGATCCTCCTGTCTCAGCTTCTCAAAATTATAAACCATATCCAGCTTATAATTGTTCCTTCTAATAATCATTATTTTTTTAAATCTACAGTGTGGGAGTTAAGGGCATGGAATCTAGAATTGGAATGTCCTGGACTTTTATAGTGGTTATGCCTCTCTTAGCCTGGCTTCCCTAGAAAGCAGGGTCTGCAGCCACGATCTGCTCCTTGCCTAACACTGGCCATGTTTCTGTCCTCCGAACCCCGGCTTAGAACCATCCCAGGGTCTTTTTCCTTGCTCTTTCCTCTGCCATGCATACTCCTCCCATCCCTGAAATAGCTTGGCAGAGATCAAATCATGCAGGGCCTTGCGGGTTAGAGAAGGAGTGTAGAGTCTCTTAGTTTCAACAGAAAGCTGTGCTCATCAGCTATCTCTATATAATGCTGCCTAGCAAGCCACCCAATGGCTTAAAGCAACCATCTCTTGTCCTTCCTCATCTGCGGCTTGGATCAGGGTTGTCTACTTTTCCTGGAGCTCTGCTGGACTTGACTTGAGCTCTAGGTGAAGGCCAGGCACATACCACATGTATACATCCTCTTCCTGGGGCCAGCAGAATACCCCAGGAATGCCCTTCTTGGGGCAATGGCAGAAGCAGAAGATGGTAACAGGTGATGTCTCTTAAGGTCTAGTCTTAGAACTGACCCACTCTGTCTTCCACTCCCATGCCATCGGCTAAAGTAAGTTGATGGCTGAACCCAGTATCACTGGGATGAGGAAATAGACTCGGCCTCTATTGGAAGCGGGTACAGAGGCATATGGCTATGGGTGTGGAAGGGTTAGGAGCAATAATGCAACCCCCAGAGAAGCCATTGTAGGGCTTTCAGCAATTCAGCAGAGGTTCTCAACAGGGACCATTTGACAATAACTGGAGAGATTTCTGGCCGTTAAGACTGGGGGCAGGTGTTGCTGGAATCAAGTGTGTAGAGGCCAGGGATGCTGCTAAACCTCTTTCAGTGCACAGAACAGCCCTCCAAACAAAGCATTATCTGATCCAAAATGCCAGAGAAACAACGGAGAGATCTTTAAACGTATGCACCCTAGTTGTGTTTCTGGCTGCCGTGCTCAAAGTGGCACATAAGGGGTGTAGGGAAGGGAGAAGCAAGCCGTTATTTCTTTACCTCGTCCTTGTTCCCCTTCCTCTTCCTCCTTCTCAACTTCCTCCTCTGATGATGGTGATGATCACACCTAAAGTAGTGTGATACCCACAGCTCTTTAGGATTGGCTCTGTCTGGGGATAGCAGGCTAGAGATCATGTGATCACCCCTCCCAATACAAACACAAGATAAAAGCCAATAGGACAAGACAAGCTTGCCAGTTACCACATGACGCTTTAAGTACAGGGTCTGTCTGCACCACTGTTCTGCACTGAGATGCATTTAGGGTTGCTGGTGGGCTCACCATTTGAAACAGAACAAGCCTGTTGGGTGAGTTGGAATCAAATTTGGGGGGAAGGGGCCAGATGCACATGGGGAAGAACCACACCCAAAGCCAAATCCAGAGGTCCAGGGCCATGGTAAGAGATGCAGCTGTGATCTGAACCAAGAGGAAGCTGGAGCAGGAGCTGGCCCAGGGCTCCTGGGAAGGCCAGAGGGGATTGCTCTAGGAAGGGGCTGGGAGCCTGCCAGAGACAGAGTGGGCCTGGGAGGTTGGGAGAGGGTCAGACTCTGTCAAGTCCCCTAGGTGCTCTGTTTTGGACTGTAAGAACTCACTCCTGGTTAAGTCACTAAAGCCTCGAGTTAGGATGAGGACTAGGCCACCACGGAAGCCTCAGCTCTCCAGCTGGGAAGTTGTTTCTTCTCCAGAGACTCAAGAACACAATCATTTTTGTTTCTTCCCTGTCATTCAACTTGGGGGACACAAGTCCTGAAGGGACTATTCTGTAAGCATAGTGACCACAAATAGAGACAGTACTCAGTGGTCAAATTCCAACCCTCTGTCCATGTGACCTTGGACAAGTCACAGCCCCTCCCTGGGCTTCACTATCCTCCACAGAATAATGGAGATACCACTACTGAACTTGAAGAGTTCCAGAGAGGAACACGTGAGCCTGACACCTGGAGCCCTCCATGAATAGTAGGGGCTCAATCCATTGCCTTTCTGTTCCATTGCTCTGGCTTTGCCCTCTCTCTTTGTCCTCAATCTGCTTTTCCTCTCCCTATTCTCTCTCTTCTCCAAGCCTGTTGGGGCCTTGTGGACATTGTTTGTCTGAAACCAGTGTGCAAACTGGTGGCTCCCAAACCTGCCCCCTAATAATGCAAATGTCAAGCCCTATCCCAGACCACTGAGTGGGAATCTGTTGCAGGGGGTCTCTGGAGTGAGCTCGTTAGACAAGCTCCCCAGATGATTCTGCCGTATCTAGTCCAGGCATCAGTATTAGAGAACCACCAGGGGAGACCCTAGAATCATCCCTGCGGGTGACACCTCATACCTGTCTTCCCCAGCATCTACCCTGAGGCAGTTCCAGCACCCATCCTGCACACCCTCCTCCAACATCACTCGCCATCTCCCACTCCTCCCGTCAGTCGTCTGGGACAGGCAAGGAGCCTCCGGGAGAGCTGGCAGTCCTGCCTAGGGAAAAGACAAAGGAAGAGGAAAGCGCCGCCCACTGCTTCCAGCAGACTGAGTCACTGCTGGGGGTGGCTCGTCTGTGTCACTCTGGAGTAGGAGCCCCTCCCTCATCAGAGTGGATCCTGAGATTGAGCCCATGGATCAGTCCAGAGGAGAACCTGATTGGAAGAAAGAGAAACATCCCACTGTCACTGTTTCTTAGTCCTTCTCCCTGGGTGGTTTTTGCTCACAGATGCTGTTGTAGGTTGGCCCAGACCTTGAGGCCTAGGACCAATCCTAATCCTAGTCAGGGCATTGTAAGGAGCCCTGGAGCAGCTCAGATGTCTCCTCATCAAGGAAGGCTTGCCCTGACTTTCGACCCAGGTAAGGGGCCTCCCACCTCACCCTATTATCAAGCTGTTGTCCAGTGCTCCGTATTGACAATTGGTTCTGCCAATTTCTTGCTCCTAATTGCCTGCACAACGCTTAGGTTCCCCCAGAACTTGCTGTTACCTTTCCTCCCTCTCTATTCATCAACTGGCCACCGTTCCAGCCAGAGCAAGGGCATCTGTTGACTAAACAAACTCCATGGATCAAGCCCTGCTGATGGGCTTGTGGTGACCCACAAGCTCCTCATTCCCAATGGTCTGAGCTGGTAATGCCAAGTAGGTGCATGAAGAACGTTCTCTAGTCTGATTCCCTCCTTCCAAGAAGATGGATGGCGTTCCCTGTACTGTCCAAGGGACTTTGGGAGACATCTCAGAAGCTGGCCCTGGCATCACCAGCACCATAGTCTTCCTAGACGCATTACTTTCCGTGTTGATCCTTTTACGAATTATTATGAACTCACTGGCTAAATCAACACAAATTGCTTTTCCTGCAGTTCTAGAAGCCAGAGGTTTGACGTGAGGCCTACGGGCTAACACCAAGCTGTTCACAGGGCTGTCTCCTGACTTTCCTAGCTCCTAGACTCCACCTGTATTCTTTGACTCGGGACCTTTTTTCCATTTCAAAGTCGTCAGTGTGGCATCTTCTCTCTCTGACTCTGCTTCTCTTGCTGCATGGCCTTCTCCTCACACCGAATTATCCTGCCGGGGCCCCTTGTGATTACACAGAGCCCACTGGAGTAATCCCGGGTAATGTCCCCACCCCAAGATCCTTCATGATGATGCAGAGTCCCTTTTACCATAAAAGTGACAATTGCAGGTTCTGGAAATTAGGACAAGAACATTTCGGGGGGGCATATTCAGCAAGTACTATTTAGTGAGCAGAAACCCCGTACCAGCCCCAGTGCAAAGTACTTCTACCCACAATAACTCCTTGCATTTCTCTTTGATAACCCTGTGAGGCCGGTCATATTCTTCCCCTATTTTACCCGTGAGGACGAGGACACACAGAGAGATTAGGTAACTAAGGCAAGGAAGTGGTAAAGCCAGGACTTGAACCCGGCTGGCTCTTGGTGACACCAAAGCTATGCACTTAAAACTAAATGAATCTGCCTCTCCTTAGTGCTCCCTCCTTCCACACTGCAGACTTTCAGATTTGGGCGTTTCAAGTTGTCTCTAAACTACCTGCTTCCCTTCCAGAGTGGTAAGGCATGAAGCTACCCTTTGACCTACCAGGAAAGACGTCATCAGAGGAGACCCAGCAATCTTCTCGTCCAGATCCTGCTGCTCCCAAGGAGCCCACCTGGCTCTCCAAGCCGTGCCTCTCTGCTCCCAGGTCAGCCTTCTCTCAGGTGGAGACAAGGCAGACCCAGGGGAGGTTTCTCAAAGGGGCAGGCGGGAGAGGAAATGTAGGGAGAGGAGACCAGAGCTCTAGAGCACCCAACTCCCTGCAGCCAGGGTGGAGAGACTGACCTCAACCAGAGTCTGTCTTGCCTCGGCGGTGCCCACCTCATCCTGGGCTCCCGAGCTATTTCCTTCTCTGGATCAGATATGAGACCACGATTTATTGATCATAATAAACATTGCTTAACACACACTTGGGCCACACTGCTCATTCATCATTTAAATAAATCCCAGCCCTGGGGGCTGATGGAGCCCTCTGTAATACAGAGTGCCAGGTTAGAAGGAAGCCAGATGCTGGGAGGGGGAGGAGGGAAAACAGGAGCCACTTGGGTGAGTACATGAGCTCATCTGCAGTCAGAGAATTAAGGATCATCTGTTCCCCCTACCAATGTTCCCTTATTGACCTATCAGTTACTCTTTAGGAGGGTCTTGCTGAGATGCCACTTGTAGGCAGAGGCTGCTGGAGCCCAGCACAAGCCACAGTGTTCTCCCCAGTCCCTCCCTGGCATCTCATGGGCATTTTTTTCATTTGGGAGAACCACAGTCTTTGTGTTATTTCATTTCCTGCTCTGGGGAAATGCAGCTGTCTCTGGGATGAAGCATCAGTTCCTTTTTACACTGAAATAAAGTTTCCAAGCAGGCCAGGCAGCCCTCCTCCACCCATTGGGCACTGGGGTGGGGCTACACTCTGGGGGAAAACTGGAGACATATCTCTGTAAAGAGGAATTTCCGTCTGTGCTGATGACAAGGTAGGAAGCGGAACCTGGGCTGCAAGGATGGGGTAGCTTTTTTATGTGCTCCTCTCCAAGCCAAGTGCTCAGGAAACAATGGTTGATGGCATTATAGTGATGGTGCTGGCAGCCAAGGTCATAGAGGGAATGGGATGATGAATGGAAGACTCTGAGAGCCGACACGTGATTTCGTTCACCGCTGTGTCTCCAGTGGCTAGAAGAGTACCTGGCACATAGTAGAGGATCCATAAATATTTACCAAATGAAGGAAGAAATGAATGATGGTGCTGATGCAGGTAGTATGAGTGGTGTGGAGAAGACATCTGTGGAGGATGTCACAAGGAGGGAGATGGAGCTACCTGTTATTTATTGGGATGATGTCGTGGAAGAGGGAAGAGTGGTGGCGTTGTTGGGAGCAGCCATGTGGCTGGCTACTCAGATGGCAGGGAATATATATAAACTCTGGGGTTCTTAGGGGATGGGAAGCCATCCTAGCTACTGCTGGGCCAGGCCACATGGAGAATGGGAACTTTGTTCATTGTTGGTACCTGGCACTCACTGGGTGCCCAGTGAGTGACTGAGAGGTCACAGTCATGGGGCAAGGCTTAGAGAGCCCCATCCCCACAGCTCGAGCCTTCCCTTCTGCTACTCTTCTTTTCTCAGCTCTTGGTCTCTGCTCTTAAGACTTCTGTTCACCTCTGTCTTCTCATCACACTTTTTGGCCATATCTGCTCCTCTGCTCCTCCCCATTCCCTGAGTGTCTCTCTCTCTCTCTCTCTCTCTCTCTCTCTCTCTCTCTCTCTCCCCCCCCTTCTCTATCTCGCTCCTTCATTCTTTCATGCACACAAACACACACACACACACACTTGTGTGCAGGGGCACCAAGAGCTTCATGGCTCAAGAAGGAGGATTGGAAAGCTTTAGTTAATTCCTACCCCTAAGGAGAAGATGGGGAGACATTCCTAGAGCCTGCTCTGGAGTCAGATAGATCTGATTCAAATCCTAACATCAGGCAAGTTGTGTAAGCTCCCCAAATCTGTTTTCACATCTATGAAATGGGGCATGATAACAGCACCAGCCTCAAAGGACAGCTGTGAGTTAGGGAGGTTGTGTGGCGGAGTGCACAGTGCTGTGCCTAGCGTGCAGGATGTGCTCAATACCAATGACTTATTGTTGCTAGGTTGGGGCTGAGCCCCCACCCCAGGCCAACTCACAGGTTTCTCATCAGCCTGCAGGTGGATGCTTTTGGTTCAAGCCTTGATCCTAGATCCAGTCAGCCGTGGCCAAGCGTGGGATCACTTCCTGTGCTGTAAAGAATGAATAGAGTTGGATAGAACAGAAATCCAAGGTGCTAGGAAGTGCAGAGGCAGGAATGAGTAAAAAACACTTGTTGGGGCCACTGAGAAAGCAATGAGAGATTTGATCCTGCACCGAAGGTAGAGTGGGCTTTGCGCTGTCCATGGTGCTGAGAAACAGCAGTGAACAAGAGTGACAGAGACCCGCCGCTCACAGCATCGATCGTCTAGATAAGGTGGGGACAGTCTACGTGAAGAAAGACCATGTGCAAATCAACAAATAATTGAATCCCCATAGTGAAGTGGGTGATGGGAGTTTTGGAACAAACCAAAGTAGGGTAAGCGGCCAGAGAGGGACAGGACTCTGGCTGTCTCTGCAGGTCACCTCATGCCTCTGTGGGGCAGCTACTGTCATTACTGCCCCTGCTTTACAGATGAAGAAACTGAGGCTCAGAAATGCTAAATACTTTGTCACTGACTCTTAAAGCAGAGTTCAAAGACAGGTGGGGGTACCCCAAAGTTCAGTCCATTAACATCCACCATACTACCTGGTCTCAGGTTGAACTTTTCCAAAAGGACACCCTAAGACAAGGATTTGGGTGGATAGAGTTTATTTTGAAGTGGCTTCCAGACACACCTGTAGGAGAATGAAGGAGTGAGACAGGGAAGAGAAGAGAAGGAAGCCGACTAAGAGTGTTATGGGGCAGGTTTCTGCAGGGGGCAACCAGGGTTCCAGCCTGCTGGGAAAAAGTAGGTGAGAGCACAGAACAAGCCTGTGAGTCATTCAAAGAATGAACAGCTGGGGTGTGTATGTAGCACTTCCCTCCTTTGGTGGTTGAGGGTTGCTTTGGTTGGAGGCATCTCCCACCTCCAGCCTTCCCCTCTGGTGCGTGAGTTGGGATCTGACCACCAGAGAAAGCTCTCCACTATGCCAGCTGGTGGAAGCCATGGGGTCACCATACACAGGAGAGATGAGTGCCAAGAAGAGACTTAAAAGGGCACCAACAGCGTCAACCATCCCAACTGAATTATACCACGTCCAGGTACAGTGAGAGTAACAATTCCAGAGAAAGAAATATCAACAAGGAGCAGAATTCTGAGGCCCTCAGGTGCCAACCCAGGGAATTTCCATTTTATCTTATGCATCACTTGGCACAGACATAGAGAGATAAAGGAGAGAGAGAGTGCCGCTAACAAATAAATACCTAAATGAACAAAAAGCTTTAAATTCACTAAGTCAGTCAAAGCTTGCATCTGTTCTGTAAGAAAAAAGAGGCCTCTTTTTAGATGAAAAACTGAGGCTCAGCTTTGGACTCTTCCCAGCATCCACGGCTCACCATGACAGGGCTTGGGTTAGATCCTTTGACTAGCCAAGTTCCTGCGCTTTCCGCCATGCCAAGCCTTAATTTGAAGGAAACTGAGTCTCGGGGGACCTGGGAGCAAAGCCAGTGCCTCGCTGACTTGGCTCCCACATTCTCTTTCCAGTGTGAATGTCAGCTACCTAAATAACTTCAGTTATTTGGCTAAATTAATCCTCTGAGGAACTGCATAAATAGAACCGGGAAGGCACACACATACACACAGAAACGTATATATATTTAACACGTACGAGGGATGCATCGCCGCGTGCCGATAAACAGGCTGATGACAAGCAAAGGAAAGACATAAACAAAAAATTATAACCAAGGGCTGGGTGCTGGGGTGCAATCCAATGGCTCTCCGTGCCCAGTGCCAACAGCATGGGAGTGCGAGGTCTCCTCCAGGGATGGGCTGCAAAGGGGGTCAGGGAGCTCTGGCTCAAAGGATCTGTGAATTCCATACGAGAGAGAAAGGCCAGGCTGCCCCAGGCACATTTCCCTGCAATCACAAACATCCACGCTGCCAAACTGGTGAGCCTGGCCCCCATCATTCCTTGTGCCCTGGAACTCTGAGCAGGCCACACCACCTCCCAAAGCCCCAGTTTCTCCATTCGTTAATTGGCAATAATAATATTAATATTATATTGGTGCAAATGTAATTGCAGTTTCAGCCATGACTTTTATGGCAAAACTGTGATTGCTTTTGTACCAACCTAATACTTTTGTAATGATTAAATGAAATAGAATGCGCACAGCACTTGTCAAATAGATTGATGGAGTCGGTGAATGAATGGCAAAAGGGCAGCCCTATTGGGGTTGCTAGGAGGCGGGTTATAGCAACAAGGAACCCCAAGAGGCCTTAGCATTCACTTCCCACCCTTCCTTTTCCTTCGTCCATTGAGAGTAAATGCATCCATGGTCATGGTCCCCTCCCCCACACGGGAATTCACGGCAGCTATGATTACCAATGCCACTATAGCTTGCCTTGGGATAACCAACCTATGAACCTTGTCTCATTCAGTCCTTACAATAATCCCCTGAGGAAGTGGCAATTTTTACCCACCCCCCCCTTCAAGATGAACCTTTCTTAGGATCCAACACATCACGTGACTTGCCCAAGGCCACACAGCTCGAGCTATAGGTTGGATCTCATCTCCTCAAAATTCACTTGCTCAATGGGGTCGTTATAGAGATAATCAAGTTAAAAGGAGGTCACCAGGGTAAAGCCTAATTAGACATGACCAGTGTCCTCATAAAATGGGGAAATGGAGACATGGAGAAGACGCACACTCAGAGCAAACACCACATGAAGGTGGAGGCAGAGCTCGGGATGGTGCCTTTATGAGTAAAGCCATGTCAAAGAGTGCCAGCAAACCACCAAGCAAGGGGCCTGGAATGGATTCTTCCTCCAGCACTCAGAAAGACCCAACCCTATGGACACCGCCATCTCAGACTTCAAGCCTTCCACACTGACACAATACATTTCTGCCTGCTTAAACTTCCCATTTGCAGGACCCCATTACAGTAGCCCTGGCTGGTAATACAGCCGCTAAGTGCAGAGCCAGGATTATGTGGAGCTGGATGCTCTGATTTCAGCTCAGTGTGCTGAAACGTCCTTTCACTCAGGCCTGGCCAATGGAAGGTAGAGTGGGGATTTGCTCAGCAAATGCTTAGAAGGCATGGAGGATGGGAGGCTGAATACCACCATGACCCCCGCCAGCCTTTCTAATTAGAGAGCAAAGCAGATCCAGGCATGGGCCAAGGTCAGGTGCAGGAAGGCCGAAGTTCCACTCATGTAGGAGGGCTCGAGCCGGCTGAGAAAAGCCCATCACACGCACTGAGTCCTGAACCTCTCTAAACCTCCAAGTGGTTAGGGATCAGCTTTGGGAGGAAGAACTGGCTGTGCTTGACACAATCGGCCGCCGTGGCAGCTGCCCGGGCTGGGCTGGTCTGAGCTAGGCACAGAGGCTGAGAGGATGGGGCTGGGTGAGCAGGGACTGGAAGCCCCTGCTGCCTATGGGTTGCCATGGTAACTGTGATCTTCCTAGGGTGAGCCAGAGGATGCTGAGGTCTGAGGGGATTTGGTGAGGACAAGGGTGCATGTGCCCGGGGGCTGGGATGGGGAAGGCCAGCGTTTACTGAGAGCTGAGCATGTGCTGGACATGAAGCCAAGCACCATCCTTAACTTCGCCTGTTTAAAAACCCACAGTAACCCTTTGGGATGGGATTTCTTTTTATCTCTCTTCTGCAGATGAGGAAACTGAGACCAAGGGAAGGGAAAGCTTTGGTTCAGGTCAGACAGCTGTTACAAGAAGGAGCCTGCATTTGAACCTGAGTTCTCTGTCTCCAGGGCCCTGTTCTTTCTCTCCACCCACCAGGCTGCCTCTGGGACTTAGCAAGGCTGTACTTTGAGGCAGGGGAAGGGATATTTATTTGAGTTTCCAGCCTCGCTTCGGGTGACAGGGATTTGGGAGTTGGCAAGCCCCTTCCACTTTTGAAGTAAACCCAAAAGTTTACTGGACGGTAGAGCCTCCTTGCCTCCCAAGGCTGCCACCCTCCATCAGCTATATCGGTCAGATGGAAGAGGGTAAAGGCATGGCAGAAACAGAGCACTAGACATTCCACACGGGCCAAGTCAGGGCTGTACCATATGTGCCCAGGTAAACAGGAAGGTTATGGGGAACAGACAGAGCTGGCGTCAAACCGATCCTGGCCGACTCTACTTTCGGCCGATGGTGCAGATCAAAGCAGCTGAGGAGGAGGCTGGAGCTAGGATCTAGCCTCAGCCCTGGGGTCAAGCCACAAACAAACAGCGCATAGGCCAGATCCTGCTGCACAGACGGGGAAAGCAAAGCACAGACAACTTGCCCAGGGGCGCAATGAGCACAGCCTCATCGCACAACGCGCAGAGCAGCCAGTTCTGACATCCTTTCCAGCTCTCATTTTCTGCCTGCAATAGCCAAGCAAGTGATGTGGATAGGAAGGATTCCACCTGCTCTGAAGCCTCCAGCAGCTGAACTGGGGCATCTGGGCTGAAGATACAGAGTTGCCGTCTTAAGACTCCATCAAAGGAAAACTACGTGAGAGTTGGTGCTGCTCAGGGATGGACTTGCTCTGCAGGTAGTGAGTTCCCTGTCTTCAGAGGCGTCTCAGCGAGGCTGAAGGAGGTGTGCCCTGCTAGTCCTTTCCAACGCTGTGCCCAACCAGTAGGATGCCTTGTCATTCTCTGACGATTATGGTTTTTCTTTCGAAATATAATCAAGTCTGGAGTCAGAGGCAGGGAGAAACAGAGCAGTGGAGTCCCCACCAGTGGTGATTTGCAGTTCCAACCCTAACCCCTTGTGCCTCCTGTAGCCAGTCTGATGGGATGAGGCAGCCTGTGCTCCCACTCGCAGAAACCCCTGACCACCTTGTGTTGACCTGCAGTTGCAAGCCCTAGAAAAGCAGATAATGGGCCTGTCAATGGGGCCAACTTGGAGCAAAGACCTTTGCCAGAAAAAGAAATCCCATCTTTTGTTATGAAAGCAATCCAATAATTCACACTTGAATTGCTTTTGTTCTAATAACACTTCTATTCATACACAGGAAGACCACACACACCCGCATAAAGGCTTCTCAAAGTGAGTATGAGCAATTTTATGCCCCAAAGGGGAAGGTCACGTTGAGGGTGATACTCGTGGTGGAGACCTGAGGATGGCGGTCAGTGTCAAAGGAGGCACTTACCCACGGGAGGTGCAGGGCCCAGCAGTGTCTGAGCTGCTCAGGAAATTTCTAGGGGAGTTGATCGCAGAGTGGAGTCCTGACTGACGTGTAGGGTATCCTCTGGTCAGCAGCATGGAGATGCTGATGATGATAAGAGTTCAGCTGGACCAGAGTTTCTCAGATCCTCCCTTCCCATGTCTCAAAGGCAAGGATTTTCCTCTCCCTGCTGCCCCTCCCTCCTAATCCTGGCCCTAGGAGTGCTCCCCCCTCTTTTGTGCCTGCTATTGTTTGCTCACAAGTTCACGTGGCTGTGGCTGTGCTGAAAGGGAATTAACTCTTGTTAATAGCCCTGTGCTCTAGGAGACTGCAACTCCCCTAGGGCAGATACCTCTATGCCTTGCGAATTCCTGACTGTGAGGCCAGCCTTGCCCTGGCAAGGCTAATTACTGAACAGATGCTTGGGACAGTGGTAATGCAGAGGCTTGGGAGGTGATGGGTGAGAAGGTACACCTTGGGTCTGATTCCAGAATCTCACCTCTGCCCCCGCTGGCTCTTAGACAAGTTAGAAATGCTCTGAGCCATATGTCATCTATAAAATGGGATAATAAATACTATTTACTGAGAGATTCTAATAAATACTGTGAACAAATTCTGTGATTTTCTTTTATTCCTCATGCTAAGATAAAGATGGGTATTAGTAACACGCCCATTTTGTCCTTAAAGTAACAAGATGTGCAAGGTCACAGAGCTGGGCGGGAGGAGCTGGGGTTCACATTCAGGTACTTGAAGTCTGTGTCACTAAGCCCTCTGATCCCTGGCATCTGTGGGATTATGAAGATAACACGAGATCATACACTGGGATCAATTGCCAGAGTGCCTGGTCTTTGTTAAAATATGCCCTCTGAATGAAAAGACCCCCCCCAAACGGGCTTTGAGCTACCTGGCTGTTTATTCACCTGGATGTAGGTGGGCTGAGGCCAAAAAGGGTGTCAGCGGAGGGTGGTGGGATAGGAGTTGGTTTTATAGGTTTGGGGTGGGCAGTGGAAGTTACTTTAGGGTGGTTTTTTGCAAGCTGGGAGGGGATTGCAGGTTTTGCAAGCTGGGAGGGGATTGTAGGTTTGCAAGCTGGGAGGCAGTTTTAGGGTGTGGAGTCACGAGGTTGACCGAGGTCGGTTGCAAAGTCCGATGACCTTATCAATTAGGGTGGGAATAAGGAAAAGTAGAGAATGTCTCAAAGTCAAGTAGGTGCTGTAGGGGTTGATCATTTCTTCAGTCTTCCAGTTACTTTAGATTTTCCAGAAACTCATCTGGAGTGTCCGTGCAGGTCACAGAGGTTAGCATGGCATCCATGCACAGTCAGTCAGCCTAAAGTATCTTAGTCTTAGCCACCCTCCCTTTCCCCTTTGCCTTCATCTGTGACTTCTCGTAATTCTTTCCTTCCGTATTATTAATATTATCATTATCATTAATAAAGATGCCGTTTAATCTGATGGGGAAAAAGCTTACGTCCACCCCTTTCATCCATGGCTGAATTATCACAGGATCCAAACATCTGCTACAGCTCCTAGTACTGAGTAAATGCTAGTCCGTTTGTATTGAATGAATGAATGAACTAATGAATGAGGTAATGACTTAATGATTCTCACAGCAGAGTCTAGGAAAGGTCTGCAGTGGGAAAGGGAGCCCAGGGCACTCTCAGAGCCTCCTGCCCTCTTGCCTGGGCCTGGAGGAGTGAGTCCCTTAGAGACACCCGACCTCTCTCTGAGCCCCACTTTCCCCACCAGGAAAATGGGATCACAGTCAGCACCCACCTCATATGGCTACCATAATAGCATTTACTGAGTGCCTTCCATACATATTGGGCACAAGAGTGATCTCTTTATTAGTGGACAAAATAGAAGCACCAGGACTTCCCTGCAGGAATCTTCTCACCAGGCAGCCCCCCAAACCCAAGGCCTCTGGGTGGGGCATCGCTGCCAGCTGGCTCGGAGGCAGAATCACCACTCTGAGGTCTAAATGTTCTCGTCCTCAAAGAGCGGAACAAATCCCACAGGGGTATTGATTGAAACCATTACGGATTCGCGGAGACAACACACCGGCCGGGAATAGGAGCCAGCTGCCGTCGTCTATTTCCATAAGGTAATAATAAGACGCGCCTTTGCTTTATGAAGTAGAATTTGTTACAGCCGATGAGCCGTAAAAATTGCCGGGTGGGGAAAAAAAAGAAAGGAAGAAAAAACTATAAATAAATTTGTAATTTTAACAGGGATTACCATGTAATTGAGAGGGGAAGACAGCTAATGGCAGAGGCAAAGGCCAGCTCAGCCCCCAGGTCTTGGCTGCAAGGCACGGCTGAGACACTGACGCAGAATGGGTCATGGAAGCTCTGGAAAGTTAGCAGGCACCAAGCCCTGAGAACAGACCCAAGGAGAACGAGGAGAAACTTCTCTCAGCAACGGTTTACTGAACGCCTACTACGTGGGCCTGACATGTGTGGGGAAACACAGTGGAGGTGCCCCCACTGGCCATGAATGGGCGCCATGATGGATTCTAAACAAGGGCATGACATGATCTGCTTTCTGCTTGGCAAATCCCCCCTCTGGCTGTTGTATGCAAAATGGGCTGGAAGGGGCAAGAGTGGGGCCTAGGAGATGAGTCAGGCAGCTACTGCCATGAGACTCAGGTCTGAACTAGTGTTGGTCTGAACTAACAGAGAAAAACAGGACACAGAGAGAGAAGGGAGGTGTTGAGGATGCAGAGGATGAATCCATGAATGGGAACACACAGAGGAGGAGTATGATGGCTGGGGTCTCTGGCTTTAGCAACCTGGGTGGGTGACAGTGCTCTCACTGAGAGGGTGGAACATTTGGTTCAATAGTTGCCACAGTACATTTCAGAGGCCTACAAGACATCCCAACAGACACGTCCAGCAGACAGTTAGGCAGGAGAGAGATCCGAGCTGCAGTGAAGTTTGGAAAGTTGCCAAGAGAAAAATGGTCCTTGCAACTGGTAGCAGATGGGGGAGAGCTGAGGAAGAGTGAAAAAAGGACAAAGAAGGGGGCCCAAGCCCAAAGTATAGAGAATAGTGGTGTTTAAGGAGCGGGCAGAGAAAAGGCTGAGGGGGAGGAATAGAGAGAGTAGAAAAGAGAGTGTGAGTGCTGACAGAGCTAAGCTCACTCCAAGGACCAGGTGTGGTGGCTCCCACCTGTAATCCCAGCACTATGGGAGGCCCGAGGTGGGCAGATCACTTGAGGCCAAGAGTGTGAGACCAGCCTGGCTAACATAATGAAACCCTGAGTCTAAAAATACAAACATTATTCAGGCGTGGAGTCAGGCACCTATAATTCCAGCTACTTGTGAGGCTGAGGCATGGGAATCTCTTGAACCTGGGAGGCAGAGGCTGCAGTGAGCACTCCAGCCTGGGCAATAGAGACTCTGTCTCAAAAAAAAAACAAACTAAGCTCACCTCTGCTTTGGTCCCTTATGACGAGAGGTGGACACTGCAGGACACTTGGGCAGGTCATGGCTACCATCAGTGCATAGCTATGGGACTAACCATCTTGATTGGAAAAGTGATACCTTGCAAACCTGACCTCCAACCCTAAACCCTCGCCCTACCAGCTCTAGGAAATGTCAGAGGGAGTGGGTTTTGGAGGTTTGAATCAAGGCTTTTCCATTTAGTGGCTCAAGATCTTTGAACGGGATGGGTAGATCAATATTTCTGTGCCTCACTTGGTCTTCCATAAAATGGGGGAATAAAACACAGCCATTCAAGACTGTTGCTGGGACTAAATGAGATGGATTGAAGGAACTTGCCTGGTGTATTGTAGATGCTCCATCAATTTGAGTTTGGTTTCTTCCAACACACCAAGGTACCTGGCCCAGAATAATCTCATCTTTAAAAGCAGCACAGAGATAAATCATCTTTAAAATGATCAGAGTGGAGAGGGTACCAGGAAGAGAGTGGGATGCTGGGATGCAGCTCTGAGTAGTCACGGAAACTTCCTAGAAGAGATGAGTTTCTAACAGTTTCCACAAATGATGGTGAGTGGCTCAAAGGGTTGGGAGGAAGTGAACGTTCCTAGGTGAGCCTGAAGTCTCCAGGAGGCAGATGAAGGCGTCGAGAGGAGAATACTGGGCCAGTCTGGGAGGATGCTTGGAGTACGTGACACTGAGCTGACAGAGAGCCACATCCCCACGTGGCTTGAGCAGCTGTGCACAGCATCCAGCACGCAAGATCTCAAGGTTACCTGGGAGTGATATGGAGAGTTCCTGTCTCCAGGGAACCCACTCTGGTGGGAAGGTTTTGTTTTTCATTCCTTGTTTACACTTTGGAGTTTAAACATTTCACTTTTTCCCCCTCTCCTGAACCCCATGGTGCCTATAAACAAATATTCCTGATATACAAAGATAAATGCAAATCATAAGTTCCCAAGCTTCAGAGTCCAAACAAAGAAGAGGAAAGAGGGCGGGGGTGCGGAGGAGGCAGATTCAACGAAATCTAGACCATGCCAGCTCCGTTCTCTGGTCATGATCAATATGTTCTCCAAAGTGCCTTTTAAATTACTGTCGGAGGCAATGTGCCATATTTATGTATATACATGCTTAGAGGTGACACAAGGGAGAAATGCAATTTCTATTATGAAATCATAATGTGCATTTATCTTCAGGAATAACACATTGAAATGTTGGAGTGAGAAAAGTTGAAAAGCAATCTATCTATAAATAAAGACCGCAGACATCCTGACATTTTACGATGCGGGGAATTTCAGTGAGAACTTCTTTGGACATATCACCCAAGGGATCGTGTTTAAACTCCAAGTTCTTGGAAGACAGCCTTTGGAAGTCCACAAACCTGCATGCTGGTATCTAAAGCAAGGGAAATAGACTTTGCTTCTCTGATGGTGAGGAGTATGGAGTTGAGCTGGGGTTAGCGGGTACATGTCAATTCAGGATAAATTTGGTTTTTACTTTGGTGGTAATATTTCGGGGGAATTCTCAGAATAAGGAGAATGTAGATCTCTGCAGCAGGTTGCTATAGGTACACCTCTTCTTCCTTTTTACAGCGAACAGACAAGTGGTGTGAAAATCCAGGCAAATTCAGAGGAAGCCTTTGGTCTCTCAGTGTTCACCATCCCTTGACGTCTTGCCTCACACTGGCCCTTGGACAGGTAGATTGCATCTTTAGCCAGGGGCTGCAGTCCA